TAAGGACATCTTCATGTGTGTATTCCACATTATGTCTGTTGCAAAGTTTGGTAAACACTTAAAATACGACGTTGCTTTCTTTCAAAGCCACAATGAGGGCTCACTTTACCAAAGGCCAGGGTGCTTGGCTCATCCTTGTGCCAACTCAACTCAGACACACCGCGCAACGCAGCTGACTCCCAAGATGGGCCTTCCACCCCTACATTTTCCACTTAAGAAAATTAATGATCAGTAAAGATGGGATACACCCAGAAGACAGAAAACCACTTATTCAGCAAGTCAAAAATGGATATGCTGGCACAGAAACTTATAGTTGAAAGTGAAATGTATCCTACAAAGGATACCAGATTTCAGCTGCCTTCTGACAGTAAATATTTCAGGGATGTCCCTAAGATGATTTCTACTGAGGACAAATAGTACCTCCTTGTTGAAAGCAAAGAGTCTGGCTTGATAGGGAATAGACAGTTCTTTTATGCCTCTAATGGATTTATTCCCTTACGTTCAGTATTTCTCAGAAAGGATGTCACTTCCTCAGAGAATTCTGCTGCTCTACATTTTAAGAACTCAAATGTTCCAGTGGAGCTCAGCTGAAATTTTAGAAGCTGATAGAGAAAATCGAAAGAGAAGAATAAGAAAAGGTATCTGGTAGTTTAGAATGCTAAAATCCTTCCAACTAAAAGACAGCAGCAACCAGAAATGCAGAAACACCCTGATGGAGCTAACTGTAATTATACATACTTTCTGGAAGTGGGTGTGTTTATGCTTTGCATGCCTATCTTTTCACATGCAAAAGACAACAACTGACATGTATGTAACTTAAAGAGTTTGCCCTGTAGTCTTAACTATCCTCCCATAAACTTAACCAACAAAAATAGCAATTAACACAGGTGTTTCATAATCTTCCCAAAATATTTTCTTAGTAAGAAGGAGGATTGTTTTACCATTTAATAGAAAAATATGACTGTTTAATGTGGGTGTGTGCCAATATATGAAAACTATTTTAAATGAATATTTTTGCAGTGGTCTGGAGGATCATGAGCCTAAATGTTGAACACTCCCTAGCTTCAAATTGTCTCTGCCCTGAATCACTGTGCAGCCCTGCACAGTATAAAGAAAGAAGAAAGTCAAGACAAAAATTATTTAAGCACATAAACACTTACAATTTTGTAATATTAAAGAAGCTGTAATGTCCCAAATTAAATCTAGGACAGAGATAGACTTAGAGGCACCCTTATTAAGAGGCTGCCTCTGAAGACAGCACAAAAGGCAGTGGCACAGACAGTGCAGGGGTGTGCAAAGCCACCAGTGGCACACTGAGTGTCCCAGGATGAGCTCCTGTCCAGAGGGCAACTTCTGCAATTCTCAGCAAAAATTTCCTCCCGTGGCAGCCAGGCCTTCTCCAGTCTTTTTTTATTCCAAAGAATTTAGACAAAACTAAGATTTTCTACTTTTACATAAAACTGAGAGAAAACCTGGTTCACCAATAAAATCATAAAGGTGTTGTAAGAAAAACAACTTTTTATGTGTTTGAGGTAACACAACATGCATAAAGAAAGTGTAGCTACCTAGTTTAAGCTGTAAGTACTAGCTTAAGTACTCAATTTACTGCAGTCCACACCTGGGTATTTGATAATGCATGCAAATATAAGCTTTCAACATATGCCATGAAGAATTACGTAACAACACAACCCTGAAACTAAAATTAACATTAATGAATGTAGAGACTTTTTTTTTTTTTTTTCTGGGGGGGGGGGTAAAGAAATGTGTTAAAAACATATAAAAATAAAAGACAATTTGCAAAAAATTGACACAAGACAATATATAACCTTGGCCTAAAAGCAAGCATCACTTCACTGGTTCAAATTGTAGCTGAAGATATCAGGGTTAGGTATAAGCTTCCCAATGAAGTTGTGCATTTGTGGGAGATACAAATATGCACTTTCTTTCTCATTTTGAACAGCTGCACATATATTGAACTTAGATGAATTTTCCTTTCTAAAGCTAGCCTTAAAGTTGTCAACATTACTTGCTAGTGCCAGTGCCAGTGCATTCATATCAATGGCAAAAGCTAAGATACTAAAGAAAAGTCCATTTTTGTTTACATTCTGAGCCATCATTTAGCTATCAGGTAAAATACCACAAGATATGTTCACAGAAATTAGTTAGTCAGAAATGAAAAATTATCCAAAATTTATGTTCTGATGGATGTTATCTCGAAAATATTGGATCACATATTCGTTGAAACTAAAAAGAGGATACAACCTGAGAAAACATTAAGAATACCCTAAAAATGTTATTTATGTTATTTTTAGCTAGCAACTTTTCTTTTTCTTAATTTCATTAGATATCAGGAGACAGCTTCAAAAACACCATGGAATTTATCTGCACAATTTCATTAATACCTCGATTTTGATCTCCTTCTCACTATAAATTCATCCTGCAATCCCACAATGCTAGTGCAGAAACAGCATTCAAATTTGGAACTGAAAACCTGAAATATGGTAATTTAAGTAATCCTGAGGTTGTTTATACTTGACATTTTAGAATCTTGGCCAATGTACTTCAGGAAAGGAAAGTGTCTTGCACTTTCAGACATCAGAGTGGCTAGCACACAAACAGCCACTGCAATCAGCATCACTCCCAAACAAAGCTAATTGACAACTAAAAAGAGACTGATGCTAGAAAAGCACAAGAGGAGTGACACACTTAGAAGAAAAACAGAAATTTCATTTTTAAAAAGTACAAGAACAGCCACAGAAAACCAGAAAATTATCATTGAAGTATACCGCTATGAATGGTTAATGTGAAAATCTATCCTGAAAGAACTGGGGCACTAAAAGGAAACAAAACAAAGCGATCTGCTATCTTACTGTGTGAACAGAACCTTGACCAAAACACGCCTAAAGCACGGTTTCTAGTTCAGCAGCAACAACCCAGATCAAATCCTGATGCACACTGGCTATTCAGCTGAAAAACCACTACTGCAGCTGCTACATTAATCCAGCTTTTAGCACTGTTTCCTCCTTCTTCTCCTACATCCTTTGCTGTGTGCAAGGCACTCCCAAAAAAGGATGTGGCCACCATGGTTAAGCCTTCAGGAAAAGAGCATTAGTGGCATTCAGATGATGTGTTTTCTTTTCCTTTCTTTTGCTTTACCAGATGAAAACATCTTAATAAAACTAACAGTGAAACAGGTCTCATTTCAAAGGCCAATCATTTAACATATACTCAAGTGCTCTTTACGTTTTTAATCTTGCCAAACATGCCTTTATAAACAGGAATTGTATTACAGCAATACTAATGATAAAATGCCAAAGTGGCATTTAGAACTTTCTGAATGTGAAGATCACTGGCAAAGCCACAAATCAAACAACAAAGGACTGAGAATGCATAGGGGCCCTTTTTGCTAAAAATTTATATGACTAAATATGCAAGCATAATAATTAGCATGTTGTTTTCAACTGCAATGCTAATATTTTCATCCCAAAATTCACACCAGCACCTATTTCAACATTTCCTCTACTGTTTGAGGATGGAAACATCACATCTGTTGCACATTACAAACTAACAGTACTCAATTACAAAGATTTTGATCAATTCGGAGGAAAAGGTAGTAGGAATCTGTTCTTCTGCAATGAATTACTACTCCATATGCAGATTTACTGGGTAAAAGACTTTGCAAGAGTAAATAGTGTCTCACCAATTTACCCACAAACACATTTTAAGAATTAGATAGAAATTAAATGGAATGCAGAAACCTTTTGCATCAGGTCCTAAGCAAAAAATAAACCAAGGCAGAAATCACACAGTTCAAATCTGCAGTACTCAAGGGAAGCACTCCATGAGACATTATCACACAAAGCTGGCTTTAGCAGGTAGACACAGTTCTTCAACAAAACTAGCAGACTTCAAACTAATCCAGAAGGGTGATCTGCAGTTTAGCATCACCTCACCTACAGCTCTCTCATGGGAAGCCAGAATTCCAAAGGAAATAAAACACAGCCCAGTAACACACCAAAACCAACCACAATACACCTTTCGGAAAAGAAACCACCCTAAAACCATCCCCACTTTCCCCCCCTCCCCACCTTTTTTGCAGTGAAGCAGCCAAGTGAGAACTGTAAAAGAAGGCATGGTTAGCACAGACTCTAATTAAGTGCAATAGATGGATGTATCAAACGAGCTTATTCTGCCAACTTAATGATTCAGCTTAAAGAACTGGGAGTTTTCCTCCTGACTTCTGTCAGAGTCAAGTACATCTGTTGAGTGCATTTGAAGATTCTGCCTCTTGTAAGATAACCTTTACCTCTGCACACAAGAATTACCACTGAGTTCAGCAGAGAATGATCACAGAAAAGATGATGCTAGTTTTGTGGAAAAATCAATCATGGTATCCAAAAAAGCTCGAAACAAATGACTTAATATTTTCCTGTGAACAAAGTATGTATATATATATATATATATATATATATATACACATATACACACCAAGGTAAAGGTAAGCATCACAACTGAAGTACTTCTATTCATTTAGCTGTCCTGACTTTATTTTAAAGACAATACCCTTAAGTCCAAAAGAAAATGCTTTAAATACCCTGAAGTTCAAAAAGAAAAAAAAATTCAAAGCAGACAGTGGTGTGTTTTCAGCTTCAGTATAAATCAAACAGATTAATGAAGAAACAAAATTTGACCTTTCAATAAACCTATTCAAAGTTGATCACATTTCACAAACAGGTTTCCAGTTTTGCTTTATAAATTATGAATCATTAACTCAAACACACCAGTGTGCAAGGTTCATGAGATTCACTCAGGTCTCTGACCATATGTACAAGTTTATCAACAGCTCCAATAACCACAATATACAGAGAGATTGGTTCTGTCGTGCCCACTAGCACAGCAAGCACTTGTTACCCACTTAAAATCTCCTAACAGGAACTCGTTTCACTCCATCAAGTAACTCTCCATAACTCCAACAGGAATTTGGAGCTCTAATTACTTACCTGTGGACATAATGCAACTGATGAACTGAATCGATGGCTATCACCATTTCAGCCAAATAAAAACGAGCCATATCTTCAGGGAGTCTGTCCTCAAACTTGCTGAGCAATGTAAGCAGGTCTCCTCCAACATAGTAATCCATAACCAGGTACTATGGGAACAGTAAGAGAACAGAGTGAGGGGAAAAAAAATTAAAATTTATTGAGTGAATAAAAGACTAAATATTCATTGAAGCATAAAAACTAATTCACTGCAAAAATTATTATGGACATTAAAAAACTAAGAGAGATGCTTAGGTGCTCTGAAAACCGTAGTCAGTTCAGCTGCAGTTTAGCATTTAGCCTACTTGAATAATTTTCATATTTATACCTCTCCAAATATAGTAAGACTCATGACAAAATAGTATCAACTTCATCCACAGTCCCATCACCAAACATGAAATATTTAGATCCTCTGGATTCCATTATGTAAACAATGCCATTTGTTAGAAAGCTAAAGGAGTAAAGGTTTAAAGTACAGACCTATAAAAATGAAACAAGTGTGTAAATTCGTAATCTCATTTACGTTGCCCTAATTTCCAAGGTTTTCCCTTCCCTTTCTTCCTACCACCTTCTTTTCCCATTAAATGAATTACTTTGGAGAGCCAAGTTTTTAGATTATTTAGAGAGGCATTTCTAATCTAAAGACTATTTAGATTAAAGCAAAGTCTGAGAGACTTCCAGAGACCCACAGCATAATTCCAGAAACTGTTGACATTACACATGATACAGGACCTGGCAACATAAAATACAACATGTCACCTTCTCTAATTGAAAGGATGGAGAAAAATATTGATTTCTTATATATTAATGAAACATAAAACTTGCCAGCCATAAAAGTGGATGCAAAGACTTTAAAGAAATCAGAGCCTTTCTGCATTTTATTGTATTTACAGAATAAAATGCCACTTCTTTTAGCAACATAATTAAAATTACTGGAAAAAGTCAAACTTAAGTGTGAAATTCAGGATTTACATATTTTAGCTTAGTTTAGTTTGTTTTTAATTATGAAACCTGAAAGGCCAAATGGGGGAAAGAAAAAAAATCAAAACTAATTATAGCTAAAAAACTAATTATTAACCTTCTAATTTAACACACACTGCTAATATTCTTTTAAAACATCACTGTGGACAGGTTAATTAGAATCACAGAATATCCTGAGCTGGAGGGGACCCACAAGGATCACCAAAGTCCAGCTCTTGGCCCTTCACAGGACAGCCCCAAGAATCAAATCACACCCCTGAGAATAAATTTCCACCAGACTCTCTGAAAGTTTTTGCTTAGAGCTGTTTCCAGGAAGGCAGCCTATCTGCATTTGAAGCAGTGACTCTTAAGAAGACCATAAATAATAAAAAATATTGAAAATGTAATAATGTATAGCCCAATTTGTTTCTTTAAAATTCTGAAAATACAGCCTAAAGGGACTATTTATATTAGTTGCCCTAACATGTTTGTCTTTCCCATTTTTAGAAAAAGACACTAAAATATGGAGAAAAAATCAGCAAAATTATGCCAACTCTAGGGAAGATGAGGGGCAGGCTGTTACTTTTCCCTGTTTCTTTTCCCTCATATTTTCCATAACAATAAAGGTGATGAACAAAGATTTTAACTGCTTGATACAGAATAACATGGGCATCCTCATTGATTCCAAGTGCATAGGAAAGCACAAAAGCCATTTCCACAAGATTTTAAATGTGTTGATAGTCAAATTTTCATTTGTTGCTTTGTGACAGGAAAAAGGAACTTCTTAAATTATGTTCACAATCCTTACAGAAGATAAGTATCTTCTGTTCAGTGGTGCTCCTACACTCCTTCAGGAACAAGACTGATTGTAGAAGTCTCTTGTGTTTTACAGTTTTAGGAAATGCATTAAGCCTTTGGAACTTCAGATAATGATTACTAAATGATGCATTGCACAGGCACCTCCAAGAGCTGAACTTATTGCTTTGAATGTATACTGAAAAAAACCTCTTCAGATTCTCCTAAGTGATGCGGGATCTCTGCAGTCATTCTTCAGCACTTTGAAAAGCTCTGCAACTCACCTACTGGATACAGCAAAATAATGGAATTTTGGCTCTTAAAACACAGGATTCTGCACCTCCTTCTAAGTTTGCAAGAGCAACATAGTAGCCTAATGACACAGGAACCTTCAACACCTTGAATAAGCCAACACTTAAACTGTAACTCATGGTATTAAGCTGTGCAAATGAAGTTAAATACATGTGCAGGAATTACAGTTAAATCTAAAAATGAAATTTCACATTAAAAAGTTCTGTCAAATATCCTATGTCAAATATCCACGTTCATAAAAAAAATAGGGTTTTTTTAAAGCCTTAAAAATACTTTCTAAATAATAATAGCTACTTTCTAAATGTACACAATCATCCAGATCTATCCAAGTCCCAAATACTTCTCAAAACACTAGTGTACAACAGCATCATCTTTCCAAGAGAAAGAAAAAGCATAGATTTAAGAACTCTAAATTCTAGTAGCTAGTGGAAGCTTAACACAGGCATTTAATCCCAAATCACAGATTCATTTGGAATGGAAGGGACCTCTCCAGACCTCATCTGCTCAAGCAGGGTCAGCTAGGAAAGGCTGATGATGACTGTCTCCAGCTGGGGTTTGAGTATCTCCCAATAAAGAAGGGTTTTCTTGTGTTCTGATGAAACTCCATGGATTTCAGGTTGTATCCACTGGCTCCTGTCCTTTCACCAGGCACCACTGGGAGGAATCCGGCTCCTTTGTCTCGATTCCCTCCTTCTGGTGTTTACACACGTTGATGATAACCCCCTCTCCTTCCTCCACTTATTTGGGCTGAGGGATCCCAGCTCTCCTCACAGGAAGGATGCCCCAGTGTGTCTCAGTCATCCTTCTGGCCTCACAACAGACCTGCTCCTGTAGTTCCATCTCTCTTTTGCCCTGGGGAGCTCAGACCTGCACAAAGCACTTCAGGGGCGGCCAGGGCAGGGCTGAGCAGAGAGGAAGGACCTCCCCTGACCTGCTGGCAACACTTTTCCTTGAGCCCAGAATACTCCTGGCCTATTTTACTGGGAGAGTGCATTGCTGCCTCATGGCTAAGCTTGTTATCCACCAGAACCTCAAGTAAAGCTGCTTTCCAATCACCTGGGCCCCAGCATGTACTTGGTTTCTCTTATTATACACCCTAGATGCCGGGCATTGCCTTTCCCTTTGCTGAAATTCATGAGATTTCATTCTCTCCAGTTTGTTGAGGTGCATCTCAAGGCAAGCAACAGTCACTGCACAACCACATCTACTGCTCAATCTACACAGATTTATTTTTTTTTAAAGCCACTTGTGTTACACGTGATTGTAATAAAAAGTATATGGAGAACTAGTGATGATACAAACTCTCAGTATCTCTTACATTTTGCCCAGCAAGGTGCAGAACTAGCTCCTGTCAGCAGACTATCAAGATGAAGAACAGAACCTGCTCTGTGCTTAATGAAAACAAGGAAACTGGCAAGAATAAAACAAATTCTAGCAGACTGTTCTGGAATATATACTATTTTCCTTGAAATGCTCTTAATGATAAGATCAGAATTACACAATACATGAGATTATTTATACTGTCCACATTAACAAAGCAGGAAGCTGGCTGGGAGGTATTTAGGCAAACAGTTAGACTTACAAATGCAGAGCCACATTTCTATAAAAATCTACCAGAATCCATGGATCCCCAGGCATCTGAACTGACAGAAGAAAGCGCAATATAATGGCAAAAAAACACGGCAGATCTGCAAGAGCTCCCTGTACAGCACTTTTTGTATTGGACAGACTGGGAGGAAAAAGCTATTGTGGCTGTACAGTAGATTAAAAGAAAAATTAGAATTGCTAATGACAGAGAATCCAAAGCACAGGGCAATAAAACCCAAATAAGCAAAAGCCATCAATGCAAAGTTGTTTACTTTTTCAGGTATAAATATTATCAAAACTGTATCACAATCAAAACAGTTTTTAAGTGGGAAAGATTTTACAGAAAATTGGCCACTTTTCCACATATTAGTTTCTTTTTGCAAGGCATTCAAAATATTCAAAAATTAAATAACATAAAAGAGACATCTAAATCTACAACTACAGCTTCCAACTCTTATTTATGAGCTTTTAGTGGCATTCTTGTTGCTTTATTGTTTTGTGACAGCTTACTGAGTTTAAGTCCTCAGAATACTAAGTTGTTTCAAAACAGGTCTACTCCCAATTTCTCTCTGTAAAACAGTAATCAGCATGGTTAATCATGAAAAATTAAAATAGAAAACCTATGTTAGTAAGTGCACTTTTAATTTTATGAATCCAATTCAACTGGAATGGCAAATTATAAGAAAGAATATGCAGCTAGACCAAGGTTTATCAACAAATGCAAAGTGGTTTAGAAAACAAACCTGCCTTCCTGAGGTATTTATAGCAAAACTTTCAAAGTTTCTGACCAATCTCCACCCTTCAGAATTTTATGGAAAAATCACAGATCCTCACATGGTCTGTATGGTCCAGAACACAAAATTAACAAATAAACTACTTTTTTGTCTCAAACCACAACCAAGACCCTGCATTTCCACACAGATATGCATATATATATATAAAAGCAATACTCACTAAATAGTTTTCATCCTGGAATGCATAATGTAATGTTGTGATCCACTGGTTATCTCCATTCACTAACACATCTCTCTCTTCTCGAAAACAGGCTGTCTGAAGGGGAGAAAAATAATTATAGCCCTTAGGTAAAATATATAAAGAAAAACATTTAGGAAGTTGACTGTGTTTTGACATTATATTTCGGGGGGAAAAAATCAAAACTGCCTCTCAGTTAAAAAGTCATTTATTACACTATCCCAATATGACAAAATCTAAAAAAAATAGATATGAGACTAGACCACCTTCTTCAAATTTAAGCAGTTGTACTTCTCTGTACTATTAAGTGAGGCAAAGGTATAAATAAGCTGCTGCTTCCCATCATCTAAAATGCCAAAATCTTGATGTATCAATAATGACAGAATAGCAATGTATGATTAAGAAAAACAATCAATAATGGCATTAGATAATTGTAACTGCACTAGAAGTCAGAGCGCTGGAATCTGGAGTCTTGTGTTGTTGTTTTTATCTCGTCACGGTGTTCGCCTAGTTTTACACTTGAGTTCTCACATACAGCTCTTTTCATTTGAAAGTAGCTGCCAGTAACTCCATGTAGTCATCACTTGATAATCATTAACCACTTTCTACACGCCCCCTGCTCAGGAAAATCAGGGAGAAGCAAATATTGCTCTTGTCAGGTGTAAGCTGTTGATCAGACATCCCAAGAGGTTTCCCCTCAAAACACTGGAAAGAAAAACAGGAGGCAGGAGGTGCCTTCATATCAAGTGGAACAGAGGAGGAACAAGAACTGCCAGCGAATGTTTTAATTGTGGAACACAGGTTTGTACAACACAAAAGAAGATAAAATGTGAAGAAAATGACTAAGTGCAAAGCAGCAAGGCATTTAATCCAATGAAGGTCTTGCAACTTGCCCTGAGTAGTGAAAAAAACACCTCAGCAGAAACAATTTTGCAGAATAAGAGACAAAAATGACCAAACAGATGCAAAGCCAAAAAAGAAATTATAGCAAAGAAATCCCATAAACATTTTGAAGGGAGTGAGTTCTGAAGTGAATATCACAAGAAAACAAAAAGTACCAAATAACAAAGCCAACGCACAATTTTGTTCAGAAAAAAGAGATCTAAACAATAGTGTAAAGGAAAGAATAATATTGCACAGGCTGTATTTAGAAGGCAGATGGAGAGTTTGAGAAAAACACAGACCATATTTTATTCCAGCACACTCTGCTCTTCACAAAGATGTTTCATCATTTTGAACCCTGCTCTGTCTCTTCCATCTTCGAGACAGCTAAGTTTAAAGGAAATTCAAGACTTTGCTTTTTATTTTTTCAGTTTGATTTCCAAATCCAATAGGAAAATAGCAGACTTCTGGCATGGCTTTTGCTGGCTGTGAGATTTGGAAAGTGAATGAAAAGTATAATATCATTTGAGATTGAGATATGCACAAGAATAATTGAGATATGCACAAGAATACATGCAGCAAAAACAGAGCAGCAAGTAACTCCTTCCTCCAAACAAATAAACCATCACAAGTCCTTTTTTTGATGAATACAGTGAGTAATAACTATGCATACCAGGAAAAATTAATCCTTTAATCATTGCACAATGCAGGAGATAAATCAGTGAAATTTGAGAAAATAGCAAGACATACTTCGAGCAAATACCTTCAAAGGTTATTGAATGAAAATAGACTTGGGGTAGGAGAATGAGCATGGATCATCTTCAGAAGGAAGAAAAGCTGTTTGATGCTTCAGCTTGATTTTTTTCCTTCCTTGTTTGTAAACTCGTGACATATTTCAGAGAGAAATAACTAGGAACTCTTGTTTTCACCAGGATGAATAACAGGTAGTTTCTCTACTTGTTATGACACAATTAATAGGATTAGTTACTAGAGAGTTTATATAATTCCACTTGTTTTTGCCATGATTTGACAAAAGACTGTGCATTCCTTGAGCACTCCAGACACCCACCTCTGGGCAGCATGCCTAGAGCTGAAGCAAGCTACTACCACAGTAGATCACAGCTGAGACAGCAACAGCCAGAGAAGAAGTGATAAAAAAAAAAAATCCAACAACAACAAGAGACAGTAGCAGTGGTTATTTTAATTACTGTAACATGGCTCAACCAGGCTTTTTTAAAATGAAGCCTTTTTTTGTGCCTTCCATTATTCCAGCATTACACTTCATCTTCACTAGGCAGTCTCCTTGAACTGTTGGCAGAGACCTCCAGAGGTCATCTGATCCAACTCTGTCACAGCAAAGCCAACTCAGTGCCGTGGTCGTATCTCTCCTGTTATCATGGACTTCAAGCAGCAAAGAATTTGACCTGCTCTGTTGTTGGGTGCTCATGTCCTCACAGCTCAGAGTCAGCACCTCCGGGGGATGCTGACTGCTTCCATGCTGCCTGATAGTTGTCCTGGTCTCTCCTGAGCCTCATCTGGCACCAGCATGGCACATGTGTAGCTCTAAGTGACTGTCAACGCTCAGGGTAACAGGTCTGGGAGTGTAACAGCAAGATGTCACACACTTCCAGGTACTCCTTGTATCAGTAACATTCCCAGTTCTACATCCCTTCTCAACAGTGGCAAGTATTTGGAAAATTTATCCTCTGCTATTATACAAAAAAGAACATTGCAACCTGGGTAATTTTAAAAGACTTTGATACCTGGGTAATTTTACAGTAACAAAGTTTTTGCACTCAGAGCTTGCAGTCCTCAACCTTACTCTGGCATTCTCAAGCCTCTTTTGAGTACATACTCCCTTTCTGCTTTTACAAATTACTCCCACTTCCCACACTGTTGACACATATGTTCATTAACATACAGAAAATATATATATATATGAACACATAGATCTATCTATATGCTTGTGGTTTTGGACTGCATGATTTTCCTGTGTATCTCAGTGTTAGTGCAGCACACGGTTAACAGAGCCAAAATGGGTCATTTTCCCCATCATCAGTAAGAACAGCATTCATGAATGTTTAAAAATGACAGGTTACAGTTGCTAAAGGTCATGCTTTATGATGCATTTTCACTCCAGATGGTTCTCTTTCCACTATATACCCATGGGTTACAAATACATGGAAAAACATTGCTGTAGTTCTTTTTAGGCTAATGGTTCAGACTTTCAGAAATTCAGCTGGACCCATGGGAAGAGTATTTTTAATACCTTGCATAGAGAAAAATTTTTGAAACCTATTTATAACTGTATGCTAATGAAAAGAAACAGTTTTCAGACTCACTTTAAAAGGGTACATTTAAAAACAGAGTGGAGCTTTATTCCTGGTCTTTTTCAGTGAAATAATAAAACTTACAGTAATGACATTTGTCTTGGAGAGAAATACCTCTTTGTATCAAGACTACTGCCAGACTGCTCAGTATCTGAATAATTTCGGGATAAAAAGGAAACACATTGTGCACATCTAACCACAATCTGCAAACCATTTATATTTCTTGATGTGATAACATTTTCATTAAAAGAGACAGGATGTGCACACATCAGAAATTGGCTTTAATTTGTCTGAATACATTTTTTTTAAGAGTGTGATGGTTTCCCATTGATCTCACTTCCTACCAAGATGTAATTAAAACATAAATGCGGAAATCAGAATAAACTTGGAAGCAGCTGAACAGCAAGGCAGCAAAGTTGAGGTCTCAAATAAAAAACCATATATTTATGAGTGTATTTTTAGTATGCACAGATGAAGAATTTCAAAGCAAATTAGCAAGTTAGATACATGTTCCATCTAAAATTAATACAAAAGTATTCAGGTGCAGGCTGCACTTTATAAGCTTCCTTTCAAATGAATCCAGGGGAAATATACCAAGGACTTTGCAAAGAACAGAGTTGTATAAAGAAAGTAGACAGCTAAAGCAAAAGCAAGGCTGGTGAAGGAGCTGTTCCACCTTTTTCAGACACAAAATGGACTCCAGCTATAATGAGGAACTTTTTATCACATATTTTTGCAGATGGACATTTTTAGAAAACATGCACTCTAATTAATTTGAAACTTTTATCTTTCTGATTTTTCAGTCCACTCATTGGGCCTTTACTAAGTTCTAACTACTGAGAAACTAATAGGCTTGATGAGCTATAGCTCAGGAATTACCTTCTTATAGCTCAGTAACTACCTTCCACCATGGAAAATACTTGCCAAAGACTGCATTCCCAACTGAAACAAATGCATTAAAAGATCACTTGGGCAGTTGATAATTTCTGGACAATTACAGAAAAGGCCTAATGTCAAGAACATTCAGCCCCACAGAAGTCAAGATTCCAGGACACTTAAAATCTTCTGATGAATTGCTTTGAGCTTCTTTAATATTAATTTTTATACTGCCAGTAAATAGTGAAGCACTTCCTCCATCCCTCTAATAAACATGGAGACTTGTGCACAGAGAAATGACAATTCAACAAAGTAAGAGGGAAATCAATCATGGAAAAGACTACTGCAATCTTACTTCAGCTCTCTTCAGCATCTCCCACTTATTAAGTATCTTCATGGCAAAAACTTTATCTGCATTTTTCAGTTTTACTACTGCAACCTGGAAAAGAGAAATGAAAGACAAATAAGTTACTACAAGAAAATACATACTGTTTTCATTTTTATGTAACCTTGCCCTTTTTGAGTTTTTTTTAAGTGTTCTGGACACATTTTTACTATGCACACAATACCGCACCATCAACACAGAAACACCTCAATAGTACAGGAAAATACCAAGTTTATTGCAAGCTTTCCTTATGTATCACACTTTCCCTATGTATAATTTTTTTCTAGGTGACTGGCAATGAAAACTGGCATTTCTTAGCATCACACTTCTTGCTGTATCATACTGACATGAAGCTCTCTGGCTCTATGCTTTATATTCCTGGACTTAAGTGCTACACAGTAATTTAAACTTTAGAGTCCTCAACAAAAAGGTAACAGCACAGCAGCTTCTAAATCAAGATAAACAATGTGGTTTTGGTTTTAAAAACAAATAAAACTGTAGATTTGCCATAAAGCAACTTCCACTCTCGTTTCAAATAATGCACTAGATTTTCTTCAAAGATAGTATGACTTCACATTTTTCCACCTGAAGTTCAATGAGCTCTTTATGATATCTGTTGTAAGCAACAGGGAAACAGTAAAATGCACAATTCCTAGAGAAGTAAAACTTAACAAAACAAGCCAGCCCAGCTGCTCCTCCTCTTCTCATAGCTTCTGAAACATTAGATGACATAGGCCTCTGTAATAATAAATTAACGAAGTTCACTGACACCATCCTGTTCTGAGAATATTAGTTTTGTTTAGCTATAATATAAGCTAACATAGAATATTTTTAGGAAAGAGGGAGGGAAGAAGTTTACACAAACTTCTTTTCACAGTTCAGGCTTGCCTGGGTATGGAAAGCTCAGTGTCTTAACCAAAATGGGCATGAATGTGCCACAAACTCGAAGCTGCTGATCAGAACTAGACCAGCATTATCATCCCAATTACAGATAAGTTCAACAATCACTAGATTTTAACAACCATTCTCCAACTATCCTGTTCTGCCTCTTCCCTTCCAAAGGAATCTTAAGAGTAAAGCAGATAAAAGTTTATTTCTGTGTGCATCTGGTTACAAACCAACATGCTGTCACACAGATTATCATCATCTTCATCCTGCAGGCCAGTGACAAAAAAAAATACGAAGGTTGAATCCTACATTCCTTTCACCTTTTCCATAATCAGTAAACCAGCAATGTGTGAAGACAGTGACAACAGAAACGAAAATACAGGATCAGACAGCTTGAAGGAAGTGCCATGCAAACCTCTTTGAACCATCTTCAAATGTGTCATCAGCTGCAACAGCTTCACAAACGAGGCAAAAGCACAGGCTGAAGGATTGCAATACTCTGATGTCTAAACCAATGTGTATCTCACAGTGTAGCTCTTGCCTAGCCGTAGATTCACAGACCAAGCAGCTGTCACTTCCCATATGTACATTATCAGCCCTGCTCTTGACACTGCTGCCTTCTGGGGTTGCAGGGGGAGGCAGTGGCAGGGAGATAAAAAGAGGATATAAGACAGAAAGGTATTACATTTATTTGTTTAAACTAGTTTATGGACTGAAATTTTTAAAGGTTACCTCACATGAGGTTCAAGTTCACATTTAGAATCCATCAAGGAGCTTTCAGATTTGAAACACAAAAATGGATTATTACTTTAGCCTATAATATAATAACTTTAATTTATAGAGAATGTTTGCTGTGCATGGTAACCTAAGACTGAGAATCACATTTTTTTTTGAGGGAAAGATCAACCTTTTGCAGTGGTACATAGCCCAGAGTATGGATTTGATCTTGATTATCCTTTTGCCATACTATCTAAATCTTAGAAGCTCTGGTAAGCCATTATCTGTATCAATTTCTAATGAGAAATGGCAGGAGGAGAAAGCCTCAACATTGCACCTAATCAGTGTCCACACTGTATCCTACATAACTTGGATGACAGGGGCACCCTTGGCGATGCAGCCTGTGGTATGAAGCTACAATGTAGTTGTGCCCCAAAGACTATTAAGTGTTTTGGGACTCTTGCTGGGAAAAATTAAAAGGCTGCTGCTAATAAAGCTGAGTAGCTCCTGCTGCCCAGCATGGGAAATAAGTTTTTCCTCACCATTAACCATTGGAGTTGAAGCAGCCAGAGGCATAAGACAATACAAGTATTTCAAAGCCAATTTCAGGATTTCATTTCTTGCCTGTGGCATGCTCAGTGCAAGGCTGTGTTATTCTGCAAAGGACTTGGTTATTGAAAGACACACAGTAAGACTGCACAGCTGCCTAAATTTCCAGTCTCCTATTCAGCAATCACTTGGACACAACTGCAGGAGCTACAGCGCTGCCTTTGGTGAAGATTTGGAACACAGGCCTTCTGTGGCATGAAGAAGGGCTTGGTACCTTCTGCAAATGTGCAACAGCAGTGAAGAGTGACTAAAGAACAAAATTAGACTCGTGTTTACCAGCTGTGTTTACAATCAGTCTGAAGCTTTTAGACTGTGAAAGCCATTAATGTTATTCCATATCAATAACCACCACACACAAAAGATCACAGACATCATCATCATCTTTCTGCCATCACAGCATGTTTTTGGGGGTGTCTCAGTGTTTTATGAAAGTAAATTCTAAAATGCTTATTCCAAGACTGTGAAAGCAAAACCTGACACTTCAGCATTGAGCAGACTGATGTAGTTTCTAATTGTAATAAAAAAAAAATCTGAATCATGATTACAAATCTAGGCAGTGTTTACATATACACAGAGCATTTACTACCTACACAAAGGCACAAATACAGACAGAGTTTTGTTTTCATCTTTCCCCTTCCCTAGTGAAGCTGTCAAGACTGAAGAAAGAGTAATCATTCCTGTCCTAGTGATCCTGAAGTGTCTTGCTACTGCAACTTCTTTAAATTAGACTTTTTAAAGGTTGGGGTTTTTTAAAATTTTATTTCCCTGTGAGCAGCCAAAAAAAAAAAAAAAAAGGACTGGTATGTGCTGATGTAAACATCTTGGGTTTAGCCAGATATGAAGTTTTTTTCCTCGTCTTCAAACCATTTTCCATATTTCCCACAAACAGCAGTCTAGTTTGGCATGCTGTCAGACACCTTCTGCCCCAAGCTTGGCTATTTGTCTCTGTGATATTTGTCTGCACTTTCCCTTTGCTTAAAAAGCAATAGCCTTATACAGAAAAAAAAAAATAGAAGATGTTAAAGTTGAAAGAAAAAGAAAAACAATAAAATTAGAAAAGAAGATTCAGCATTGGTTTTCCTGTCCAGTAAGAACAAGCAGACAAGAAAGAATGTTACTGTTTGTAACTGTATGACAAAAATCAGGAGTAACTAGCTTATTCTCAAGCGACAAAATTCATCATCTTCAAAATATCAACAACATAACAACCTAATATTTGCTAGCATAAGCATGCACTGATTTGTTTTTCAAAGCTATAAGAGAATTAACTGAAAATTTTGGTATTAGATTCACTAAGCTGCACTTTTATACTGCCGAGGGACACCACTAAGGGCTGTTGTCCAGTTGCTTCACCTTTCCTGGCAGCATTTTTCAGCTCCCAAGTTTAAAGTCTTTTTGTTTTGAGTTAGGTTTTTCAAACCCTGCTGCTCAGAGCCAGCACAATGAATTGCTTCAAGCCCACATTATTAATTTTACCATGATAATCCTGCTCCTCCCCCAAGCAAAACATCTGTGTTTTCTAAAGACAGCACTCTTACATATAATTGTAAATAAGTAAATGCATGCATGCACAGGGAAGGGGAATGTGAATAATTTAACAAAAAGGAAGCCTTTTCAGAAGGCAGAAAAAAGGGTAAGGGGAAAAACAAAAACTAGGAACAATGAACTCTTAGTTATAAGCAATAACTAGTTTAAACTACTTTTTGTCTGCATTAAACTTGTAAAAACAAAAAGGGAAATATTTCTTGACTATGCAAATTGAAGAAATTGAGTAGCGTAAAATCAAAATAAGAACAAGTCTGAGACTGTGCCAAAGAAAACTTGCACTAACTTTGTAGTCTACAGAATTTCAGAATTATGTTGATTCAGGAGACAAAAATTACCCCTCCCAGTAACCTAGAGCAACCTTGGTCTCATTTATAGTTTGCTGGAAAGAAAATACATTCTTTCAGATTTCTTAATCTGTCTCAATAAATACAAGTATTGTGCAATTTCATATTAATAGTTTTTTGTGGTTTAAGTAGCAGTAAAATTTAGTGGTCCTTTTTTCAATTTTCTTTAGATATTTACTTGTTATTTTACAGAAAAATTAGCAATTTCATATAGAACTTATTTTCTTAGACAAATGTCTGTGTAGAACTTGTCTTTACTAAACCAGCAAGACACATATCCTTCCAAATATTTATAAAGTCCTACTTTAAGAATATAAAAACCCAGACATCTTCACTGAAAAAGCTCATTTTTCCCCTTACTGAAGATTTTGACAATTAATAGAATCGTGCTGTCTTACTCAGATAAGGAATTAGAAAGTAACACTGTTCCTAGAAGAGAAGAACTAACCAATCCCACAGACTGTCCCCAGAAGAGGACGGGGAAAGTTACATTCTCACTGTCCATGGGATGATTCACCACAAAGAACTTCCTGAGAAAGAACCACGGTTTCTTTGTGGTTTGGCTGCTGTGGAGTTTGATGCTGGTTTAGCAGACAAAAATTACTTCTCTTAAAAACACAATATAAGGCAGGTTTCATGTATGATCCTTCTGACAAGAGGGCACCAACATCAGCGATTTTTCTTATATTTAACACAATCTGTAACTCAGCTGCAACTCCTATGGTAGCACTGACCAAGGCTAATCTTTTAAGCAGAAGTGTTTACATCAAAATGGAGATTGCAACATTCTCTGTGGCAGAGGTTTAGACTAAAGATAAATTATCCCTGAGTAACTTCAGCCTTCAGTCTCCTTTATAAAGAAGCTTTACTCCGGATGGACCAAAACCAAGAGTGATAAAGCAGCTAAATAAATACTACCTTTTTTTGTCAATTTTACAGCTGCCCAATGATTATATTTGCACACAGGGATCAGAGTATGTAATGGCACACACTATAGTAAAAATTTCTCTTCCTAACACACTATCTACAGGAGTCTGCTCTTCCACAATCACAGACTAGCAAAGACTGATTTTCACTCAAGATGCAAACAAGTAAGTGAACCTGAGAACAACTCTTCCCTGTCACATGCCAGAGCCTCCAGAAATCCTCTCCTACCACAGAGAACTTCCATTTCCAAAGGCAATCACAGCATTTTGATCAGAAAATATTTTTCTTATTCTTTGGGTTTAAGTTCACGTTTATTTTCAGGCAGGATGGAGTACCTCCTGCAGAAGCTTTACACACTACCCACATCTGCATTACATTTTGCTATGAAAAACTCAAGGCACTGCTGTACATTAGACTGCCCTTCCTACAGTGTACTGCATGAAAAATCAAGCTCATGCACCCAAAAGAATTAAGAAAAATGGGGCAGAAAGTGAACGTTTTAAAGTTTCCTCAACATAGTGATCAACAGACTTGTCTGGCAACTTCAAGTAAGAGATATCTTAATCAGAAGCAGCAAAAAATTGTATGGTTTGACAGCAGTAGGTGACAACTGAAAAGGAAAATAACATCTGCTGAAATCCTTAAAAGAAATACAGGAAAAATATTCAAAAGTCATTAAAATAGGAAACCAAATGACAGGAAAAGAGAAATTTCTCTATGTTGTTGGAATGTCAGTGTCAATATTTGGCTATCTAAGCTGCTGAAAACTACTTTCAGCCTATACAGTTATCAGGAAAGTTAGCAATTATTAGACTTCTATACCATCAGTTACACACTGATCTCCACCTCCTGACTGGAAAGAATTAGTCAAGCAAATTATTTATCCTCAGACTATTGAAACATGGTCTCTCAATCCATGTCAGCCTGCCTGCTCTCAAAATTCACAATACTTAAAAAGAGCTGTCAAAGGATGTTTAAAACAAGATGTACTTGTATCAAACATTAGGTGGGCCTATAATATCCATTATAGCTAAATAATGCAAAAACCTGTATATCAGTGTATTGTTATGAACTGTCTCTTCTCCTCAGTGCTGCAGGTTTGCAAGACAATTATCCAAACCCTCCTTCTCACACATACCTCTCCAAAGGCTCCTCGACCAATCACCTTCAGAATCTCAAAATCTTCTTTGTGTAGTCGCATCTGTTTCACTTTAGATGTAAAAGGTTTGGCTGAAACAAACGGGGAAAAAGAGAATAATTGAAAAAAACCCGAAAAACAACCTGTGCAAAAATCAAAGAACAAGGTAAGAGTAACACAAAATAGATGCAACCAGAGGCCTAAAAACAAGGGATCATCTTACTTATATACCTATTTATCCTAAAGGAATATAATAAAGTTTAAAGCTAGAAATAATGAAGTAAGAACTAAGTCAAAACTGCTGTGAGAAAAAGGCTTACGAAGTAAGCTTGCTTTTGCCTTCTTTTAATTTAAAGAAAATGGAGTCAAGCTGACTGTATTTTTCCACAGACTTCTGAGTTCACAGACATCCACTGGATGTGTTCTGTATAACTCTCGTTGCAAAAGCAAAGTCTAATATAATGAGTTCACTTTGGACAATTATTAATTTGCTTGCCAATCAGCCACACAATACTGTATTCAATAAGAAATTTAAATGGTGGTAAATGGTTAAGTGGAAGGGCAATATTGGCTTACACAATGAATTATGTAATTTTTTTGAAAAATACTTCTTCAAGGGAACACTTACTAGTCAATTCTTGGTTTTGGAAGGAAAAACAGCTGCACTCAAGACATTATTAACACATTCAGTGAAAAAACTGAATACATTTTCAAGTTAAGCTTCATTTCCTTCTTCTTTTCCCCCATCTTTTAAAATATATTTGAAAGCAGTAAGCAAAATAATGTATTGTATCCCAGACAGGTAAAATCCCAGCAGTGTTTGCAGTAAAACAGTCTCAGGAGCACTATTCTCTCTTTTAGCCCCATTTAGCACTACATTTAACCAGCCATGGTTCATTAATACATGTTCTCTGCATGCATACAAAACATCCAAGTTACTGATAACTCTACAGCAAAACATACATAGCACAACCCTTGGTAAAAAAAAAAAAAAATTAAAATTAAAACTTGAAGTAATTTAGCAGGAAAAGGAGTTCTTTATAAAATTATTGTTCTAAAGGCACGTTCTATACTTTACACAAATGAAATCCTATTAATAAACCAGACACTTCAGCAAATATGGTTCATACAAGAAGGTTGTATCATCAGGACTGGGATGGGTCTCTAAAATACGAATTCAATTTCTGGCTCAAAGGCAGTCTAGCTCAAGGATCCCAAACAAGCAACTTGAGATACTTCACCCAGTTTCACATCTATGAAAAGGGGACAGTATTTTTGTAACAGACAAGGCACTGACAATCACATTGCTGAATCACAAAACCCCAAAAAGGCACGTTGTAAAGTCACCATTTTACAAGGCCCATAAAACCTTGTAAGCTCATGCTTTCAGGGTACAGAGGCCCATCTCTGTCCATTTCTCTCTCCACAGAGGCTGATGGAATCAGTGCAGTTTTATTTGCAGGGAAGAGTTGTGACAGGCATCATATTGCAGAACAATTTGTTCAGAATAACACTTCTAAACAGAAGTGGGGAAATGTTTTCAAAAGCTCCAAAAGCAAATGACCCTAAGTAAGAACCAAGTTAAATAGATCTAGACACATGTAAGAAACCAAATTTGGGTTCTCCTAGAATTCAGAAGTTTGTCTTTCTAGTGTTATTAAATAATCCTGCTAAAACCCTGTAATTCAATTTAGAACTTTAATATTAATCATGCAGCCCTTCAAGGCACTACAGCATCCTTGTCCAGAAGCACACTACGTTCTGCTCAGCAAAGCAACCTTATAAACTGAGTCAAGACACAAGACTACAAGGTACCTGTAGTTTCGATACCTAAAACCCCCCACAAAACGTTTTCATCCTAGGCAAAGTAGCTTTCTAAACCACATTTGCACAATAATGACACAAAAATGCAGGGGTTTATGTTTACAGCACAGCCCCACTAGCATTCGTGGTACAATAGATGAAACCCTTCAAAAATCTCAGTGGTTCCAAAGTCTGAACCTGGTCTCTTTTTTCTGAAATTTCTCAGATAGCAGGAATCAATCCTCTCCCAGGAATTACATCTGTTCCAACTAGAAGAACACCAGCTTACAATTAAAAAAACCCAGCATTAGGTCCAAATAGTAAAGATGCAGCCATGTAACACTGAGATTTTCACTGTAGTGCTACTTTTGCTTTACATTTATAATAACATTATTCAAAATATTGAATTACAAAATTAAAATACAGGTTTATAATATTACATTTTAAATACTGCTGAAATGCAATTTCAACAGAAGTATATCACTCAAGTTCACAGAGATTCCCCAAACTTTCAAGAATCTTTTATTCCCTTAAAAGAAAGTGATTGCAGTAGAAAAAAGTGGTAAGAAAATGTACTGGCTTAACTTGGACAGCCTGAGCTGTGCTACACTAAGTGACTGAATACAAATATTAATACTACTGACTAATACTACTGAACAAATTAAAACAAGCCATTAGAGCCTTTTAACTTGAAAAACAACTGATTGAAAACAAACATGTAGTTCTCAACTGCAACATTTTTTGACCATTATAGGCCTGGCTAGAGTACAAGGCAAAATTTCTTGCTAACAAGCAACAGCATAGCTGTTTAAACCACAAAGCTCTTCCTCACTTTATATTGCAAGGAAAGGCCTGTCATTCTTTAATTATTATGTTCTGAAATCTTCCAGGGTTCCCATAGGGATTCTGGAAAAATAAACATCACTATAACTACTTCAGTCAAATAAAGACGACAAAAATAGGTTTGGAGTAGGTTAGATGATCTGTAGTATCAGCATTAGTGGAAAAGTTTGTAAAACCTCCCTCCTCTGTAACTTTTTTATCACTTCTAGGAGAGATGTCAATGTAGAGCCAAGCAGCTTTTGGAAGAAAGTTAGAGCCCCAGGGGAAAAAAAAAAAAAAAAAAAAAAAAAAAAAAAAAAAAAAAAAAAAGGGGAAAACACAAAAAAAAAAAAAAAAAAAAGAAAAAAAAAAGGGGAAAGACCAAAAAAAAAAAGAAAGAATTGCCCTAGGAATGTGCTCCAAATAGCTTGTTCCAAAAAAGGTCAATTTGCTTTATCATCAATGTTGTTTGTCTACTGTGCAAACATCTGCTGCTCTTGCGGCAACAGCAATGTTAAGTATAGAAAACTTGGCCTGGCCTGGGGTCTTGGAAGGCTCTCCTCAGACAGCATTTCATCCATGCAGCTTTCCAGACTAGGAGGTTAACAGGCAGACCTTTGGCAACCAGTTTGCAGTGTCCTACAAGCCTTATAGAGAGAGCAAATGGTCAGGCCAGGGAATGCTTTTCCAAACAGTGTGCTCCAAGGGGTCCCTGAAAAGCAGATTTGCAGGAACACAGCCCTCATTTACACCCCTGTCTCCCTAAACAGAATCAGCACAAAGTTAACACAAAACAGCACCCTCTTTTTCCACAGGAGCTGTGGTTTCTTTCATGGTTGATATGAGAGTGACACACTTTCTCTGCAGATTTTTGAGAGGCAGTATGGGCATTTCCTTTGGTGCTTCATTCAGCCTACAGAAATACACAGGGGCATAGATGATTTTTTCCACACACACATCCCTTTTCAAAGTTGCTAGCCGTGTGTGATACAGATTAGGGAGCAGCAGTTTGCTGTGCCAAAGAGAACTCTTCCTCCTCCAAACAAGGAGTAAGTGTGGGCAGCCTGGCCGCTGCCTCCTCCTGCTGGTTTTCAACTCACAAGAACTGGAAGTTCATTATATAAAACTTTCCAGCGTGTTCTCTATGGCCACACATTGACAAGTCATACACAATGCTCATGGAGGAGGCTGCTGTGAAAAATACTCTATGTTATCAATCTCCGTGGAGGAGATGGAGAGATAAGACTTGACCTATAAAATCCGTTCTGTGAAAACACTTGGCCACTCCACCTGGCCAGTACTTCCCATCTCACTCTGCCTGGGAAAACTGTGCCACCACCCTCTTGGCAAGACTCCTTGCACTTATTCCATCAATTACTCATGGCAAGGAAGAACAATCTCCCAATTCACCCTCAGGCAACCAATGTACTGCTGCAGTAAGCTAAGCTGCATTTTCAAACAAGGTGAACCTGCCATGACTATTCTTTCAATTTATTTATGTTTCTACAGGTCTTTCCCCACATTTCATGCTCTAGCCATTCATTTCATTTATGCCTACAACGCATACAAACAAAATTCAGTAAAAGGGGAATACTACAAGAGTTAGAAATTTAGATTTTTTCTGGTTGAAATTTAACCAGAACTCCACCAGAAGTAACATGTTAAACACATAGAAAAACACTCAGGAGGAGTCTAGTTGCCAGGCCAGGCATGCAGAGGAACATAAGTTGCACCCCCTGGCCCTGGAAAGGCAGGATTTTATTATAATTACAACAACCATCCAGCAGAAGAGAGTCCAAACAATGGGCTCTGCAGTAGTGACACTGAGCTCCAACAGTCTGTTTATCATATTTACAGTGGGGAAGCAGTTATTAGCATTACTTACAGTCTACTTAATAATAAGGGGGTTATCTATTTTAAACTCTTGGAGACAGAAGTCCACACCTTCCAAAGAGCTGACACAGGGATGGCAGTGACATGGTTGATAGCCCAGTGCAGTTTAGTATTAGAATTATATCAAATGACATCAAAATAGTAAAACAGCTGTTTTGGATGCCTTATTAGCAAAGTTAGTCTCATGCTCCAGCCTTGCTCACTCTCCCTCCAGCTCCAAGTTTCTGTCTGCAGAGCTTAGGCAGGGCTAACCCTGGAATTCAGATTTTCCCAGGCTAACCTGCTGGGGGGCTCCTGCTTCTCCCTCACCTGCCAGTGCCCCGTGCCCTCCCCAGCACAGCACTGAAGGGAACCAGGGGTGCTGTGGGCATGGGCTGAAATTGAAACCAAGTGAAATGAAGATCATGTTGACTGCTAAAGAAAGTGCAGCAGGCCCGGAGCAGCAATTGGGAACGTCTCCACAACTGATTTAAATAGAAAACATAACAAGACAGTGTTCATTAATTCCTCTCTGTGTCTTGCTGATGCTGCATTTACTTTTGGATAAACAAGCTGGCTAACTCTGCTAAGATTG